GGGGGGGGAAGATAATATTAAGAATTCTATTTATGTCCTAGTTTTTTCTTTCTGGAGACTGTTTTTACCCTTATATAAATGAAGTTTGTTATGACCAAAATTCCTTGAGTAAGCTTTAATTTTTTATTTGGTTCAACTTTCCACACTTAAATTGGCTCTTATTATCGTGCTATTTGTGCTTATATATTCTGAAACAACTATAAATGTAAAGTAGGCTGGGTAAAGATTATACTTACATATAATCTATGGAAAGATTAATAAAGGAAAATGTCTTATTTAAAGGAATTTTTCATAAATCATTAAATGTGCATTAAATGAATAACTACCTCCAATTTACCTTTGATATAAATGTACATTTTTTAAAAGAATCTTTTCTTAGAATAAATCATTTGTGAAAACAAAACTACCCAAATGAAAAGACATGCTATTGCACTCTGCTGCATATAATGTTGCGGTCAGATCAACTTACAAATTCAAATGTTTTACAGTGTGGATCTTTTTTCCTTTCATTGCTTAACTGCTTTTCACAGCAGGCCAAATTAAGTTTAATTTTGTCTGTGATGAGAATGTATAATTCCGGCATCAACTATTTGAGTCGCTTACCACGGCTAGAAGGTGTACGAGCGGTTTCTGTCTCATAAAAGCTTTGTTCTGAAGATACACCCACAGAGAGAGAATCTTTCCTCAAATAATACCGGTTTAATTCCATCTGAATTCGATACTCGTCTTCCTGCTGCATGGGTCGATTTTTCCTATCTTTATTAGCTAACCCTATTTTGCTAGAATTTTCTACAGGTATACAAAAGAAAGCAAAACAGTAATTAAATTTGAAGTTACTTAATTCATTATTTCTTTCCCAAAACCCCTTTATCCAAATGCCAATGGCAACTTAACACCACAGTACAAACCATCATTAATATTAACATTAACATTAATCAGAGATTTAAACAATGGCTTTAAACGACTAGCCCAGGATCATAAAATCTTAACTGAGAGATGTGAGTTATTAAAACTATTTTGAAATGGGTGTTCAAGAATTATATTTTCTACACACTGTGTTCAAGAATTTTACTTTTCTCAGGTGTATGAAATACTATCCCCAACCAAAGAAGTGGGTCAGCACAATTCTGAAACAGTTAAGAATGTGACACACACCATCTGCATTAAATTGGTGCCAAGGTAACACAATTCAAAAGCCCCAATCATATTTATTTAGGATTCTTATTTACAATTCATTTTTAATTTCACAATTTCAAAAATAATAATTTTCTACATGTATATGTTTTAGTTAAAGTTTTAATGAATTAAAAATAATACCAGATCTACACTCACCTGGCCCTGCGATAGCTGCCAACATATCCAGAAGCAAGTGGACCTGCCTTGGCGACAGGAATAAATGAATAGAGTCTATCTGCCCATCAATATCCAACTTGAAAAGAAAAAAATGTTCAGGATGAATACTCTTTACAACCTCATCCCCATAAATCCCAGCAAATCTTAATGCACTGACCCCTTACCCTCAGAGTCCTTCGCCTAGGAGTCTACCTAGCAATGCACACCATCCATTTTGTTTTAATTTGCTGTAGGTCATGTGCACTCGCCAGAAAGAGACAGAGAGAGAGAGGAAAAGTGAGAAAGCACCCCTCAGGAGGCATGGCCACTCTCCAACCCCTTCTGCTCCATTCTCCTTTCGGAATTTTGGGCACACATGCACAAGCACTCAGTATATTTTCCAAGCCGCCAGGTCAGAGTCTCAAATTGCTGTCAGCCATGTGGGACACAGCTGCCTTCACCACACCAACAAGCTGGCCCCGAAGGCACACAATCCAGACTGCTAAGAGGAAAAGTCCTCCTGAGAAATTCCATGTTGGCAAGACTAGTGTCATACCTTTGTCTCTAAGTCTTTTGAATATTTAAAGAATTTGAAGAGGCCGTAACACATAGTCTCACACAGTCTCCGAGGTGACATCATTCCATATTCCCTGACTTTCAAAAGACTAAAGTCATGGTACTTGAAGCTTGAGTCAAACCAAGAACAAACAGAGGCGGCTTGCGTGAGTCTGCCCCTGGGTCACGCTCTAGAGAAAGCTGGGGAGGACCTGCCTCTCCAGTGTCCACTGTTTCACAGCCTGGGCACGGGAGTGGGAACCACAGCAGACGCCGCTGACGTAGGTGTCTCTTCTCCTTTCCAATCTGCCCATTTTCCCTGCTAGAAATAAAAGCCATCCTCACTGTCTTCCTGATTCCTGTGGAGTACAATCTGACAAAAGCAATGACTCTATTCTCTACACCACATCGAAAAAGCTGAACGTGCCTGCTTCACTTTTCACTCACCTCGTCTCCATTCGAATATGCTACCTCTCACTCCTACTATCTTTATGCCATTTTGCAACTGAAAAATCACTCCATTAACAAAATACATCTAAATTCACAAAACGGCTTCTTGCCCAAGAGAAAAAATTTTTCTGATTCTGAAAGCAAAACGTAAAATAACAGTGACTTTGAAAAATTTCCATGATTTAAGAATATATTATCTGGGACCAGCCATTAGCGTAATGGCTATGTCGCTGGACTCCCATGTATTCAACTGCAATTCGCGTCCTGGACCCGGTGGCTTAAATTCACACCAGGTGCATGTGCATGCATGCCCAAGATCCCGAGAGGAGAATGGAGGAGAAGGGATTGCGGCATGGTCATCCCTCCTGGGGGGTGATTTCTCGCTTTCTGCCTCTCTGTCTCTCTCTGTCTTTCTGGCGAGTGCATGTGCCCTATAGCAAAATCTTTTCCAAAAAAAAAAAAAAGAATATATTCTCCAATAATATTCATCATTATCATTTTTTCAATTATTGGGGTTCTCTGCCAAGTGCAGAAATATGTATAAAACATATTTCCTCTAATTCTTTTTCCTGTTCTACAGACAAGGAACTAGATTTACAAAGATGAAGTGACTTGCATGAGGCCATGTAAAAAATCCAGAGCCAGGACTTCAACCTGGGCTGATTCAGAGAAAAAGCCTCCACTGCTCCCGTGGCATGGCTCCCTAGTTCCATCCACAGACAGCTTCATCCAAGCCAGCAAGGAATTCAGGCTGGAGAGAGTGGGAAATGTGTTTCTGATTACAGGCTAATCTTTTATTTGCCAGAGGGCACATGCACTCACCAGCGACAGACAAGCAAGAGAAAAAGAGGAAGAAAGCACCTCCCAGTGGGGAGTGGCCACACTGCAATCCCTTGCCCTCCATCACTCCACCCTGTCAGGGTTTAGCCATGTGGGATCTGGCTCCTTAAGCACTAGGCTGTAGAGCCAGCCCTACAGGCCAAATTTTAATTTTTTTTTAAATTTCTTAGTATTAATAACACAATCTCTGATATTAATTATAACAGATAATCAAGAGTTTCATTAATTTCTTGGTATTAAAAACACAATCTCTGACCTTCATTATAACAGATAATCAAGAGTTTCATTTACAATTCATTGGAATTGAAATGTTCACCATGATATTTCACTGCCAATACACTCCGAGTTTGACATTCAAGAAAGTAAATATTACTTTCTTTGGGTAATATAAAAGAATGTAACAACTGAAAAACAAATTTCAATTCACTGTAACATGGTAACTAAAACAAAAATCTCTAAATTCAATACAGAGAGTACCTATTTCGATATATTGGGTTGTCAGAAAAGTCATGGCGTATTTTTCTCTTTTCCAATGTAAACACATACCATGACTTTTCTGATGACCCAATATATTCCCAAAAACATACATTAAAATTGAATATGTGAAACACCAGATTACACAACTCGAGGGTTATTATTTTTAGAAGACTAAAAAAATAAAATCCAATCGTTTATAACTTG